GACAATTCTTACTGTTTGATTTCCATCATCATCACTCTCCTCATCTTCACTGCACATCGCACCATCCTCACCTTTCCCTTTTGGAAGGTAACTTTGTATTGAAGGTGGACCACATGTCAGAACAAGATATGCTTTCCTTGCTTTTGAGCTGTGGTTAACAAACATTTTAGATAGAAGACCAAATCAATAACAGAATAGACATCAAATTGAGTACACCATGTACTGGAATTCTGAAATTAATACAATGAAACTTCTAAATGGATATAATATGAAGATCTCCTTTTGTTCAGAAGTCTCCAAGACCAATCTAAATACCCCTAAGATAAAAAATTTCCATGAAAGACTCATTTCTCCACTTCAATCCAATATTACAGTCATTATATTTTGAGAAATACACCAAGCTAGTATAACAAATAAAAGAAAAAAAAAAATGCTACAGTGTATTTTGCAAACACCTAATGTAGTTCAGAAGAATTATGCAAACACTGGGACTTCAGCCCTCTAAAATATTTCAGCAATATGATAATATTAACCTAGGAAATTAAGAAAGCACCTCTACAAGAACATGCAACTTGTAAATAATAAACAGCTTAATTATGTACCTATGTGGCCAATCAACAACAATGCCACCAGCAAAACCAGCACGCATGGCATACATCATTATCATCTCACTTTGATCCATGTTCTCTGCATAAAGTTGCAACACTGCTCTTGCTCCTCTTGCAAGACATCTATATAACGAACCAAAGAAAGCCCTAAAGGGCACAATGCAAATGAGTTAATGACACATAAAATGACTGCAGATAAAAGTAACATGAAGTGTTCTATCAAGTATCAACTACTCACTTTAGTCGCATCCTTGGTTCATGAGAGGACTTGTCAGCATAGCATAACCACTGAAAATACATATATAAGAAAATTAAAGATCGCTACAGGAGTTAATAAGTAACATGTATAATAACAAGTGTGCTCTGCAGCATCATAGTGCAGCAGCATCACAAGTGTGCTCTGTTTTTAATGTTTTAAAATATCACATGTATAATAAACTGAAAGTGTAGAGGGCAAAGTTTTATTTTGTAATTCTACTGCGATCTCAACGGATTGGTATCTAGCAAAAACATAGCAATATAACTCAATTCTAAACTCTGAAGATCTGTATAATAAATTTATAAACATTAATCCTTTATGTAAAAGCCTTCTTTCTCTCTCTATCTCCCTTAACTCAAAAAAGAGACAAAATTAAAAAACATCACCAGAACAAGCATAGCTCAAAAGAAATAAAGATTATGTAAATGACACAAAAATCCATGTGCAACTCAGGCTTTTCCTTATGAAAAACTAAATCATAAACACAAAATCATTGAAATACAACTTAGCAATGGCAACCACGCAGGTATATCAGGAATAAACATGTACCAACAAGACAAAATTATGGCACATAAAAAAAAAAGAAAAGAAACATCATTAGTAAAAATTATAATGACTTTTACACTACCAGAATCTTCTCAAACAAGCAACAACATATTACAACTGTTTTTGTGTGCAGGAAAAGAGATAGTAGGAAAAATAAAATTGCCAACCTGAACTGCTGAAATACTGATAGCACCATCAACAACTCCTGGTCGTAAGCCTAAGCCCTGCAATAAACCTTTTCATCAAAATCATTTAGAGTATTAAACAACTGAAGAAACATTCAGTAAAACTCCTACTCTCTGGGCAGTGCGACATTGAGGGAATTCTACATTTGAGAAATAGCAAATACAAAAATCATTCTTAATTAGACAACTATCCACTTACATAATCTCCACATCAGTTAAGAATAGCAGAAGACATTAGATTACTTGAGTATGAAATTTGTCCATAGGTATAAAAAAAGGGCTAACTTTTTACACTTTTGCAGGCATAAATTTTTGGCTGAGTTGGTATAAGAAAATGAAGCCCAATAGAAAGTTCAAGTTTTAGCTAAACCAACCAAAATCAAAAGGGTATTGTATCCTCAGAAGGCCAAACCTATTTGGCATTGATCCTCCATATCAAGAAAAAAGTTGAATGATCTGCAGGTGCTTCAACGAAATCGAAAAGAAACTACATAATTCTCCATGCTATTACCACATTCCTGGATGAAGCAGCCAAAAGGACCTCTACAAATGGCAAGAGCATAACTATACCTGAGATAGCCTCAGCTCAACCATATTTGTACACCTCTGAGGTTATCTTTTCCTATCAGACTGCGATCCATAGCCACAAGATATCAATGACCTTACTTAAAGTCAAACTTAAAGTTTAAAGTGCAAGATAATCTTTATTTAAAAATTCCAAAGTTATATTAAGAATAAGAATATGATCTAAAAAATATCTGCATAAATTATAGAATAAAATGTATTTTTTTGTAATATCCAGTGATTTAAGGGCATATTATACTGAATTGAGTGGCAGGTACTCCAATAACAACCTAAAGAAGCGAGATTCGGGTGTCTCAAATTTAGAACCTGACGACACCTTAGTTGCTTCAAATCTACATATCAGCTTGCTTGCAACCCCATTGGACATATGGAACCCGACATCTGGATAGTACACGATGGTGGAACCAGGGTGTTCGCTTAACATAAGACCACCCTGAGATGCTATTATTATTAAACATTAAATAGGCTTACTTATCCTTACTGTTTCACAAGCAAAACCCCATCTTTTAATGTCTTCTTCATGCCACAGAAAAGAGCTTATATAATTTATTCTGAAACAAAAATGCATGGAGCTAACAGATATCATTTATGCTTAAGTTCAACTCTTGCAAAGTATGCACATTGGAGAATTAATATTGGAAATAAAGTGTACAAAAAGGCAAGATTCAAAGCAAAAAATATATGATTCCAAGACATAAGAAAATTTGATGGAAATAAAAGAATTTGTAGATGGTGGTACTAAGTCACTAAGTTTGTTAGACACAAATAAAGTTGTTTGTCTCTGTATTACAGTGACTTATTTTAACCAAGACTCTAGCAGCACTAACCCAACCTATAAGGGCATCAGAAAGTAGAGTAGCAATAAGAAACTTGCTTGTGGAAGTGCTATTAGTAAGATTATTTCTACACACACACATTAGATGGTACCCTGGTTCATACTGTATAAGCAACATGAGAAAAACAAAGTTGAGTTCCTATGGCTCACGCGAAGTGCCAAAAGGCATGACACAAATCTAAATATCTTTAGTCTGATGCATAATATTTGATGAGATTAAAGGCCATCCTTTTAAAAAAACAGGAGACCCAAATCACAAAGTGATGCCAGGTAGAGCTAATGATTTTTCTACCTGGCCCATATCGGCAAGCAAAAGATCACCCTCTGCTTCACGCTCCAGTGCAACATCTGAATGAAATCGCCAAGTAGATAAAGATAAACAACAGAAAACGAATAAGTTTTGCTGTTACACAAGAACAGAATCTACTCACTTAGCATTGACTCAGAAATATCATAGCCAATCCAGTGGTGACCATTTTCAGACAGGGTCTCACCACTGAGCCCAGATCCACAACCTAAAACAGAAAAGAAATGTAAATGAGCAGAACAGAACAGAAATTTAATCTACAACATCATAACCCATCCACAATAGGATATATGTCACTGCATGCAATTCCAATGTTCTGGACAAAAAAATTTACTTAAAACAGTTTATTCAGCTGAATAACCAACAAAATAGAATCACTTACAAGCCAATTTCATATAGAATAAACCGAAACAATAAACAAAAGATGCCACAATAGAAAGAACTGATAAAAATTCATATTTCGGTCCAAATTCACGTACCGCGGCCACGGAACATTAATCCGAACAATTCCTAAACAAGCACAACATTTATATAAAACTTGAACTCACCTATATCCAGTAGAAGTCGCGGTAACCCATCATTCGGCAGCGCAAGAAGCTCAAGCGCTCGCTCAGAAATCTTCGCCTGAATTAGAAGCGAATCCAAAAAAACAGATTAGCATCGAAAAAGACAATCTTTTCGCCAAACAAAGAGGCGAGGGACAAGATGCGGAAGGCAGAGGGACGTACTTGAATTTCGATGATTCGAGAGGAAGTGGTGTACTTGCGTGCCTCCGTTTCATTGTAGAATATTTCCGGCGGAGCTTGTACCTCCGGCCTCGGCATCTCTGCCAACTTCACCGCCGCGATCCAATGAACCCTAACTTTTGAACGCCTCTACACGACGCGAACCCCAACTATACTACAAGTAGGTCTCGACCGAAAGATGTGGGCCGAAGCAGGGCGGTTTTTGCCATCTAATTTTGTATTAGCAAAAGTAGGAAATAAATAAATAAATAATCATCCACCAACAGCCACGTCAGCAATTTATACTTAAACCTTAATATTCCACAATATAAAAAAAAAAAAAAAAAAGGTTCCAATTTTTTTAATTTCAAGGGAATAAATTTTATTTTGGTTGTGAATATAACACTTAATATTTGTTAAAGAATCAAATATGATGTTGTCCTCTACTCCTAATATAAAAATACCTTAGAATAATGTTACTTGTTCGAAAGACAACACTTATTGTCATATAAAATTATTTGTGATTTAGTGCTATATTTCATGCTAATTGTGATTTTATTTTATTTATTTTTATGCCTAGCCTTACCAAATACTTATAGTGATAATGATTGGAAATTGGTGGACTTAGGCCTCAAATCCAGCCCGTCCATCTTTTATCAGCACGATTCGTAAAGCAAATCTAACGTCCAATAAATGCCGGCGTCGAGTTAAAGCCCGATGTGAGGTCTCGCCTCGCCTCGCCTCCGGTTTGGGCTTGGGCTGGAAACCCAACATATCTATAATTTGACAAACACGAATCGTAAAGAAAATCTAACGTCCAACAAAAGCGCTTAAGCACGGGGTCCCGCTCGATTTCCCGTAACGGGCTTGGGCTAGAAACCCATCTTACAAGCACGCGTGAAAAGTCCAAGAAGTGCCGGCATGAAGTTAAAGCCCTAAGTCTCGCCTCGTCTCCCTCGGTGCTCGCCTTCCCTGCCGCTGTCGCGTCGGAATCCAGTTACTTTCCCTATGCTCCGGTGCCATTGCCAGTCGCCGCCGTGGGTCGTGCTGAGAGTGGTCAGGTGGCTGTCGCGGATAGCCCCGCCGTCTCCGGCGACGGCCGAGCCGGTCATCCGCGTCTCTAATAACGTCGCCCGTCTCGGCAAACCCAAGGAGGGCCCGAAGCCGCGGCAGCTGCTATCCCTCCCTCCATTCCCCTCGACTGGCACCGACCCTCTCCCTGGCCGGAAGAAAGATCCGGCTGCTAGCGGCCAGCCGCGCCGGGTCACCGCCATCAGCTGGGTCAAGCACTACTTCGCGGATATCCCGCCGGAAGTCATCCAGAGCCACTTCAACAAGGGCTTGGTAAGCGGCGCATATGCTATTGCTAGGTTTTCTGGACCTATCCTATCTTTCAATTTGCATACAAGTCATATAGATCTTGTTGTCTATATGGAAGTATTTTATATGTATATTGGTTGATCTGCCGATCAATTTAACCTAACCTATTATTAAGAAAAGGCTGTTTTACCCTTTCCCTTTTACACAAGTTGAAGTTGAAATGTGGAATGTTAACTTAGCCAAGGAGTCTCTGTTGAGACATTCGGGTTGATTAGTATATTGTTTCATAAGTGATAAGTCTCATGTTCGAATCCATGTGTGTGTTATATACCTCATTTGATGTAATGAGAATTCTTTTAAATTTATATATTAAAAGAACTTAGCAAAGGAGACCATCTGGGATGAGGTCGATATCATTAAATGATTTCCTTTTTAAGAATAAAAAATTGTGATCTGATGCTGTATTGCATTATACTTGTTTTGAGGGTTGAATATGCACAGGTTAAGCATTTGATGGGCTTTCATTTGAATAATGTAGTTGGGAGACTTATCTGAAAAATCAAATATATCTATAGGACTAAAATATGTAAGTAAAACCCCTGTCATTTCGACTGGTTTAAGTTCAAATGATGTTGTGGAGGTGTATAATTTACATCAATGTAGAGAATTGGAAGGAGAACTAAGAACTTGATCACCTTTATTCAGTATTGCCAGAGAATGTATACAGGGCACACCTATCATCTACATAAGGCATTTGTGTATGTGATATACTAAGAACCATGCATACATGTTCTTTTTCCCATAATATGTTGATTTGCTATTGATGTGAACAATCAAGTTTTTAGGAGAATATTTTCATTTGTAAAATTGTTGATGTGTATAGAAAAACTAGATGTTATCTTTATATGTACATTGGATGTAGTATACACTATCTTTCCTTTTGAAATTTGCTAAAACAGCATAATTGTGTTGTGTCATGTATGTGTTGTTTCATTATGGATTTCAATTGGGATGCCATTGGTGAAATGAGAATTAATTGAGAGTTAAATCTGATTTTCTAACAGGTGCATGTTGAAAGTTCAAATCATGACTTTCAAACCGAGGAAAATTATTTAATGCACTGTTTAAAAAAGGTATGCCATACTAAGCCTCATCAATCATACACCAAATGACATTTTAGTTGTACGGCCTGAGAAATGTTCAACCTGCTCATTGAGTGCTTATTCTTAGTTATAAAAGTGAATTAACTACTTTTTGCAGCCCCCGTGCAGATTAAGCATAATCATATAATGGAGCCCGGCATGAAGATTCATCTTCCTGTATCAGCTGCAGAGACCAAGATCATTAAGAGATATGACACTATACCAACTGCAACTTTGCATCCCAATGCTGATGAAATAGAATACATAAGAAGACTTGTTATTCACAAGGCCAGTTTCCTATTTTATCTTCTCCTTTTGTTAACCTAGACTTCTCTTATCTGGTTTGGGATCATTGTTGCTCTCATGACATTTCTTGTGATTGTTTGGTCTTTGCTTTTGCAAAATTTTAGCCAAAGTCTGTAAAAATCTGCTGCCTCATACTGACGAACTATGAATTTTCAGGATTCAGCTATCATTGTGCTAAATAAGCCCCCTAAAGTGCCCATGAAGGTTTGAACTTTTATTATTCTTCCACTAGTTGACTGGTTAATCTTGTTGGGGTATATTATCTTATCATTTTCTATACTAAATACTTCATAGGGAAACTTACCAGTTCACAATAGCATGGACATCTTGGCAGCAGCAGCATTATCATATGGCAGTGATCAGGGTCCTAAGTTGGTAAGCTCTAAAAGTTGATCATTTTCAAGATTTGCAATATTAATTATACATAGAAATCAGTTTGTGTTACTGCCTTTGTGATACATGTATGGCTTGTTGTTGTTACTGTTGTTGTCTCTTTGCCATACATGGAAGTGTCAGATCATGCCATACTGTGTTCACAGTATGCCAAGGGCATGCTGAAATTGTGTTGGCTTGGCATAATTCTTATGCTGAGAAATGAAATCTATGTTGATCCACATCAATCACAGATCATATGGGCACATTCCGCACAATGAATTTAAACTTTGGTTTTTGCTTGCTGCACCATTGCTTCTGACAACTTTGATTAATGCATATGTATTTCTGGTCTTAAAATTTAAGATGTTTCTCATCATTCCTCTTTTGCAATCTTAGGTGCATCGACTTGACAGAGAGAGCAGTGGCTTGCTATTATTGGGGAGGACAAAAGAGAGCCTCACTCGTCTTCACTGGCTTTTCACTAATGTTAATCTAGCAAAATCATCTTCTGAGGTATGGATCAATGTCCCTGCTATGCCAACAAGATCAAGCATATTTGGTATATCACGAATATCTAAAAGAATGCAAAAAATGAAAATCTGTTATCTAGCCCTTCGTTCATGAGTCAAATTACTTGTGAATAATTTAAGCATTAGATTTTAGCATTGCAAGAAAAACTTGTGGTTTTACATAGGCATATGAGTTTATATGAATGCTGATGACATGAGTATCACCACCATCCAATTTATTAATGCATGCACGACATGGTTCAGGCTTATCAAGACAATTCTTCCTTATGGAATTATGTAACTCAATTATTGATGCCCATTACACGATTCCTGTTCCAACTTATTTTGTAGATATGGAATAATGCTTGTGAGGCAACAACCCAAAGGTACTGGGCCTTGGTCATAGGCTCTCCTAAAGAAAGGGAAGGCATTATTTCTGCTCCACTTACGAAGGTAGATTTCTGTACTTAGTAATGCAGGGGAAGAGTCGTCATTTTCTGCAGTGAAATATCTCCATGCTTTTGCCCTTGTTCATGCATTTTGAGAAGAAATGATTGACTGAATATCATCTAGTATAAGGTGCAAACCACTCTTCATACACAATAAAATGTGTCAAACTCCAACCTCACTTTGCTTCTCTCGTAACTTATATAGATAGAACCAGTGGATTGTTTCTAGCGAACTTTCTGAGAAACAACACTCTAGATGAATGTGGACTATATTTCAACTTAATCATCTTTGTTTTAGATTTTGCATATTCAACCTGTTGACTCTGATCTTAGGTGCTTCTAAACAATGGGAAAGCAGAAAGAATAATTCTGGCCCATCCTTCAGGGATAGATGGTTCTCAAGATGCCATAACTGAGTATAGGGTGATGGGACCCACGATCAACGGATGCTCATGGGTTGAGTTGCGCCCGCTTACTGGTCGCAAGCATCAGGTGTGTTTTAAATAACCAGCACAAAGCAAAGTTTTCTTCCCCTTGTGCGTTTTAAATAACCGCTTACTGGTTGCAAGCATCAGAGGCAAATGTTGTGCTTCTCATTCTTCTTGGTTATGTTTGACCTTATGCATTGCCTCTAATAGTTGGACCAGTTATAGCACTGAACTTTCATACCAGATGCCATGTCTGGTTTGGAGGACCAGGAAGTTGACTAGGCTGCTTTGATAAAAAACGATACTATGTAAATTTCGCTGTTGGTCCAATGCAACACAGAGAATTGCATTTATCACTAAACCTAATTAATGCTGTGTTTCTTTTTTTTTTAAAAATAATTGATTTGCACTGCCTTGTGAAATTATCTCATCTCTACAGATCATTGGTAAGGACTTAGAGGCATGGCATCACTAAACCTCTCTCTATCTCTTTTTTATCTGGAAAAGCCTACGTACCTTCATGATCCCTCTAACATGCTTTCACAAATGAATTTCAATTGCATATTACATACCTGTGGTTAATATTTGTGAACCTCAACAATAGAAAAACAAAATGGGAATAATTAAGTAGGAAATCACCTTTGTCATTTCATTGTTTTTAGTATTTTTACTGAGTAAGCATGTGGATGTTATTAGTTTGATTGTATTTTTATTAACCTCTCTAACATTCACATAGCTAATGAATAATAGCCTAGCCGGTGAAGCATGGATACCAGGATTTACATATAACATTGATACAGATGTGTCATTATGTTAATCTTGAAAAGAAATGAATATGGTACATCAAGATGTTATATATGGTAGGGCTCGAAATTTAATTTTAATGTTTGAATATATAACTACATGTCATGAATAATAATAGGTAATCAGTGTTACTAAGTTATTCATCATGAAAATAATATCTTCTGGGTAATATAATAATTCATGAATATAGAGAAGATGGAAACAACTATTAGTTGTTGGGATAAAATTATCATGTTGATCCCATTGATCAAAATTTTATGCTTAGGACATGTGACATAAAACAATATGCTGATCATATATCCATAGAATCAAGCTAACAACATCTTAAGAAAAACAAAATTATTTCAGTAAGTATCATGAAGCATACTGCACTATTCTAAAACAACCTGTTATTTTCATAATTTAAAAAGAAAATTGGATATTTTGAGAAAGCATCTGAGACATGTCCAAGAAGACATCCAAGTATAGATGTGGAATTATGGACGATCAACAAACAAAGTATCTGCTTTCCATAAAGCATAATTATCCTTGAATGGTTGTCCTCATCTGGATCAGCATGAATGTCTGTCCTTAGGAGGCTTAAAGAGAGAAAACGACACGAAAGGATGAGAATTTTGTAGTGCAAACAACAGAATGAAGTGTGTTTATTCATTAACCGCTTATGGTTTTCCTTGCAGCTCCGAGTCCACTGTGCCGAAGCACTGGGCACTCCCATTGTCGGAGACTACAAGTACGGTTGGTTTGTGCACCAGAGATGGAAACAAATGCCTCGGGTGGACTACGAGACATTAAGTGGAAAACCATACAAGCTGCGGAGACCAGAAGGTTTAGACGTTCAAAAGGGCAGTGTCCTGTCGAAAGTCCCATTACTGCACCTCCACTGCAGAGAAATGGTAATCCCCAACATTTCCAAGTTTCTTGGCAGTTCAGGTGAATGGCTCGTTGAATGCAATCCGGGGTCCACCAGTAAGCCTGATCTTCTCCGAATTGTTGCACCGATGCCTTCTCACATGAAAATAAGTTGGAATGTTATGTCATCATTCTTAGTTTAGTGTGTGGATTAGGGTTGTGTTAAATATCTCTTCTCTTTTAATTTTTGTTGTATTCCCCCTTCATCAGCAAACCACATATGAATTCTCATTCTTCACTGTTCTCTGCCCGCTTTATTCTCATGTTTGGTTCAAGATTGGTATTGCTCAGGTTATGCTGCCTGGTTGTTCCTCGGGCTTTATGGTCCAATGGACTATTAACTCTATTAAGAGCAGACAATTGACAGAACTTTTTCTTTCATCTCCTTGTAATTGCCTATTTATTTCCTGAGTCTTGAATTATTGTCATAATTTCTAGGAAAATTTGGATACCTTTTTTTGGCTTGTTTATGTGTGATATAAAAAGAAATACATATTGATCGTGAGCTGAATTCAACACATGTTTATTTTCTCATCGAGAAGTGATTGTTTGATATCTTGTCCTCGAAAAATGATTAGAAGAAAGAAAACAAAACAGCTGCACCAGATCAAACAATTCAACATCACTCAAAGAGGGGTTGTTTCCACAACATGAGATCAATGGTGACATACAGATCACTCTCGGATCCCACCAATTAACACAAGGGAAAGTGGGAGTTATGGCTTACATTTCATTCTATTGTGCATGAAGTTTCTTATGCACGCGTTCGCATGCTACAAAAAGGTCTTCCTTGAATTCTTCATCGTCTTCTTCGTCGTCTTCAGCAGCTCCGTGAAGTCCTCCTCGTCGCATGGAATCCGAAGCCCGCCTACCTGATCGAAGCCAAACTCGTCGGCCGCGCTCTCCATCAGCACGCGAAAGAGCGGCAGGCGAAGGTAGCTCGTCGGGATCACGAAGCGCCTCATCTCAGCCCCAACGTACACTACCATGCATCCTTTGGGAACTGCCGCCTCGTCTTCATCCAACAAGGAGTCCTTCATGTTCTCTCTCCGTGAATCCTTCTCCTTCTTCTTCTTCTTCCCTCTCAAGGAGAATAGCACCGACATCTTCGAGCTGCGGATGAAGTGACCCATCGATGAGTACAAACCAAAACCCAAAGAAGAAGAAGACGATCAAAGAGGTGTTCTTTCACAGAGAAACATCGAGATATGTCATCAACATGAAGAAAGTACACAACAAGGACTGACTACCTGAAGGTCATGAACAAAACCAAGTATATGAATAGAGAGAGAGAGAGAGAGAGAGAGAGAGAGAGAGAGAGAGAGAGAGAGACTATAGACGTGAAGAAAGAACATGAAACATTGACTGACTAGGTGAAGGTCATGAACAACAACGAGCATATCAAGGAAGAGAGAGAAAGAGAGAGAGAGAGAGAGAGAGAGAGAGAGAGAGAGAGACTATAGACGAAGAAAGAACATGAAACAATGACTGACTAGGTGAAGGTCATGAACAACAACGAGCATATCAAGGAAGAGAGAGAAAGAGAGAGAGAGAGAGAGAGAGAGAGGTTGGACTTGCAGTTGTGTGTGTTGTGTTCTTTTGGCTTAAAGCTGTTCCTATCTAAGGTTTGTCTACAATGGCTAATCTTAGGACATGCAGACCACTACATTAATCATGAACAAGGCCAAGCATATCAATGATTTATATATGTTGTGTTCTTTAGGCTTCAAGCTGTTCTTATGTGAGGTCTGTTTGCTGTGAATATTTTGAGGACATGTAGTCCATTCCCTCATATTTTATTATGAAACAGAACATTATCCAATAATTTTATATTGTCTGTCTTGTAGAATTTGTGATCCATAAACTAATCAATCGTTGTTTCCATGTTCTGTTATGTCTCATCTGTTTGTGTTCTAATATTGAGCCAGCCATTGTTTGGACTTGATGATCACAACAAGGCAGGACATCAGAAGGTACAATTTGCTTGGAAAGTACAGTTCCAAGAATTGCTTTGGAATCTCCAATCAATGTCATTTGGCATTTGGGAAACAAAGACATGACAAATAAATCATGATCATGTCACTCTGGCAACAACTAATATTAAATTTTATGAATCTATAGTTGAGACAAAAAGGTGGAGTTTCTTGGAAAGTCCAGTTCAGGTATTCCTTTGGAATCCCCAATCAATGTCAAATAGATGATGACCCAAAGTGCTCTTAGAAATTTAGTTCACAAGTCTTTAGTCATCAGAAGCAAGTGTTATTAAGTTCTGTCAACCAATCTGCCCTCTACTGGTGGATTAAGCATCAAGCTGCTAAATTTCTAGAGGAGGGACATCTTAGTGAGAGGAAGTTACTTGCAAGTAGTCAAGGAAAGAGTTGTTTTCTTTTTCTGAAAAGTAAGGATTTGATACCACAACCTTATTATCAACAATCAAAATCTTTACTGACTAATCTTGCTGACAGTAATAGCTTCAAATTTTCAATTGTTATAGTGAACTCCATCAGGTCTCCTGTGACTATTTTCTCCACAATGTTTCAGACCACATCTACAGAACTTAAGAAGAAGACTGCTAGTGTCTCTAACTGAGACATGGAGGAAGACAATGCCTTAAACAACTTTGTGCAGACTCTTTACACCTTAAGACATGGTTCCCAGCCAAAAAGTTAAAAGAGAAATATATCAGATGGCAAGTTATCAGATCATTGCTCCATTGTTGTCACCTTGATGATGAGGTACTTCACACACATGAATGGGATCACAGTTAAATAGTAGTTAACAAGTGTTAATTGATGGAAACATAAGCTTTGTGATTTCACATATGCTTCTACCTGCTGCATCTTTTGTTTGCCAATCCTTGTGAAGGTGATGATGACTTGTATGCATCCACTATACAATTCATAAAAGAAATACATGGTTTTATGCTAATGCCAAAAACACTTAAAAATCATTGTGGGCGGGCTATATATTTCCAATTAATTAACACCTACAAGAGAATTACTCTTCTGTACTCCCACTGAGATGTTCTTATAATAATTAGAGATCTAATCAGCTCAATGTGACTGAGGAAGCCACCACCAGACATAATCTGCACCTGCAATTCTCTCAGCTCGCTGTAGTCCATTTCCCTGAATGATTTCATGAAGAAATTAATTGGATTGTGCATTTATATGCAATTTTAAATCCAGAAGCAGTTGAAGGAGGAGTATTTAAGATGTAGACTTTGTACCTCGAATCAAATATTTCACTAAATTGTAATCTGTACACATATTTGTTGTATTGTGGCTCATATTAGATCGAAAACCAATGAAGGCACCCTATGGTTGGGTTGTTTTTTTGTCTGGGCATATCTAAAGAGATTGGAGTGAGGAGTGAAGTGACCATCAACTACTAATGAAACTTGCATCTTTAGATTTGTCGAAGGTTGTGCAGCTACATGATTCAAGAACTATATATACTGTCCAAAAAAGAGTGGAGTTCAGCACAAATTAAGCACCAGTTTCCACTTATGACATGAGAAATTGGAAAAGAAAAACATCTGAATAAAATGTGCAATAGATTATTTTGTTTTTCTAAGTGTCTTTGTTTTTTTATATCATCTATCGCTCCGATGACAACTTCATATATTTTGGACTATGATATATTTTAGAGATGTCAATTGTACCCACGAATACATAGAGACCTACCGTTTATATGAGGTGAATAAATGAGAATAAAGACGAGAATGAATGATATTTTTTATTATCAACATGGTTATGAGATGAGAACGAATAGAGCATACCACTTATATGAGGTGAATAAATGGGAATAAGAACGGGGATAAATGATATTTTTTACTATTAACGTGGTTATGAGACGAGAACGAATAGAGCATTCATGATCTCGTACTCGTATCCACTCATCAATATGTGAGCTAATACTTAGCTTGTCTAATTTAAATCAAGTTGGATTGAACATTGGTTGAATCGATTATAAGTCAATTATGAGTCATTTGATTTGATTTGATTGAAAATAATATTGTTATTTTGATTTGGATATATTTATATTTGAATATTATTATGATACATAAATTTATAAATATTATTATTATTATTATTATTATTATTATTAAATTTTAGTATTATTAATTAATTTTGAAAATAATTTTAGTTTATAAATGAGGAATAAGATGGAGATGGGGATGCGATAGAGGAGGACGGGGAGTGTTTCATCTGTTCGCCATAATGCCTCAACCAAATGCTTCATGATTTGTACACGCCAAGAGGTTTTTATTGCTCGGCCTCAACAACAGAACATGACGGGGAGAGGAGGATGATCCACTCCACTGTGAGCTAAGAAGCGGATGGGGAGCTCCTGGTGGTAGCGCTAACGGAGTCCCAGATGCCGCGGAGACCGCCGAGGACGTGAGGGAGGGCGGCGCCGGCGCCACGGAGGAGCCCGCCGGAGGCGAGACCGACGGCGAGGGTCTGGCCGAGCCCCGGCTTGGAGTCTAGCTTGGACTCGAGGATGACGAGGCGGGCGTTGGCGTTGTCGAGCTTGCGGAGGGTGTCGGACATGAAGCGATCCTTCCTGCCGCGGCCTGAGGCGAGGGAGGTGTAGAGGAGGGATTGGAGGTCGCCGACGGCCCGGAGGGCGGCCTCCCTGGGGCCCAGGCCCTGGGACTCGTAGTGGGCGAGGATCTCCTCCGGCCCCGGCGGGCGCTTCTTTGCGTCGGCGCCCTCGTTACCGCCGGTTGCGGCGGCGTTCGGGGCCGAGGGCTGCTCCATGCTCGGTGGTGGGTTTCGGTGACCGCAATGCGATAAGAGAAAGATGAGGTGAAGGGTTTTAGTAGGTCAGAGACGGTCTAATTTCAATTTTATATAATATCACAACATTAATAAGAGAAAATAAAATTAATAAACGAACTAACGAACGCACAGAAATATTGGAACATATAAAAATATTAAAACATAAATCGAAAAAGTCTAAAAATAAATCATCATTAAAATATAAAAACATATCAGATGGAAATATAGAAGTTTTAAACCCTCAACTTGTCAATAAGTGGATCAGATAGTGGTACTCATATCTCTATAAATTCCAAAAAAAAAAAAAATTACTCATGAGATTCATATATCCATGTAGATAGTGCAGCAAAATTTTGTTCACTGTACCAATGAACATTACATGAACGAAGCAAATCTATCTATCAAGTCTCCAACGGATGATGACATTAGCGACGAGGATGGAGACAGTCATTTAAAGATTTCCAGGACATAGGACTGATCAAAAATCAAACAGTACCACCGAAACAAAATGGAGTCACACAGACCACAAGGAGGGGAAGAGGTTTCCCACATCAGAGAAAGCTAATACAAGAATCAAGAAACATATTCTTGAAATGGCCATTAACATGACATGTTAGTGTATATGAGTTGAGCCAAAAAAATGGGTCTCAGAAGGTAGTCTTGTGCAGTTGAAACTCTGGGAATTGGCTGCCGTTGCTTTGCAGGTTAAGTGGGTACGGTTTGGCCAGGGGCAGCTCATCTTGTTGCTGAATTCCGGTTGTTGTGTTGGTCGGACAGGTAGCAGAATGAGATGCGAGAGTTCTTGCATTCGTAAACTGGAAATCAGAAACAGGTTCCGGATTAGATGGAACCCAGGATTCAGCTGACAGAAGAGAGAGAGCACGCCGAAGATCCGATGCTCCATCCGAGTAAGAAGCATCAACAGGTGCTCCCAGACCTAGAATGCGTAATAAGAGAGAACATGAGACCATAAAATCTTAGTGAAGAATTGTGATGTTTAATTTGACGAGTGAATCAGAAAAATTCCATCACACAAGCACTAAACTAAATGTATTTTACCAACATAACAGCTCTCATGGCATTCATTTTTCGTGATAGAATTATCATTGCCAGATGTAGGAGGCAGAGGATAAATATGTTAAACATTTTCTACAAATGTTAAAACATTCTATACGACTAGTTAAGAAGGTCAAGTAGCTTGAATCATGATATGAATTGCAAACTCATTAGTGTTGTCTAGGCAGTCATTTAAGTTCTGGAGGACCAAGCTACTAAGAAAGTTGATACATCAAGTTATTCATACATAATGTTTGCTCATGACTTTTCTTAACTCAAATTGTGAACCACAAAATGTAACAGGCATTTCAACTGTCTTAAAGATTTCCCTTCTAAGGGGCACGTGATAATCACATCGAACTCTTAACGCTTCTCTCATTTTGAAAATCCCACGTTAACTCCATGGAATAATGTATTTATCGACCTCTGTTTCCTACCAAATGATAAATACAAATTACCTAAAATTATACTTATAGTAACTTCTGGATCTTTCTTAGCTTTAATCTTAATTTTTCTCCTGGTATTACTAAAATTACACATCAAATGCTTGGTTCTGCTACTACCTAGCCAAAACCCCTTCATTTCTGGTGTTTGTCAGCATATCTTGGTACACACATAGTTATAAGAAACACACAGAAACTCTTGCACTTATAACACTAATGAAAACTTCATTATATATAGCTTTTATCACATCAATATAATTTTTTTTCTATTTAAAATTTACCATAAACGGATCACTAGGAACTTTGTCAAAGGTTTTTTGTAAATCAGTGAAACGATGTGCAAGTCTTTCTTCTCAAAGACTCAATAAATAAGTAGCTCCTATAGTTTGATCTTCAGACACACTCAAAATGTTTCACAACAAATAGACATCTTGTATCTTATTCTAAGTTAACTCACCCACATGAAAGGCATCTGTCATTAGCTTAATGACCGTATTAATTGTGCGAAATTGAATATCTCCCTTCTTGTTGTATATTGGTACCAAAAAGTTTCATTTATCAGACATTTTCCTAGTGTTCAAAATATTGTTAAATGCAGTGTTCGTCGTGCCGTGGTATACTGCTCGATATGGGCGATATGTACCAGTCTGACAGAGGACCGACACGCGAACCGTCCTGTATCAGATAGTCCATGATATATGTCCCTGTATCACCCGATACGAGGTTTGAACTGGGCGGAACGATTGAAATCCAATCGTTATAGACCTGTACCAATCGATAACGATCGGATTTCGATCAATGGCTAGAATTGATTTGGTTCAAACAAATCGATTTGACCGTTTGAACCATTTCAAAGGGTTTTTAAACCCTTTCCACCCCTCATTCACTCTCTTCAACTCTTCTACTCTCTCACTCACATCTTTCTCTCATTCTCTCATTTGCACTCTCTAAACTCTATAAAGCTGTGATTTGTGGATTGGATCAAACTTGAGAGGCTAATTTGAGAGGATTAACACCTAAGTTAGATGAAAAATCTACTAATCAAAGGTATGTATTCTTTTTCTCGATTTTTGTTTATTTATGAGATGATTAAACCTATTTATTCTATGTTCTCAATGTCTAATATATTGTTTGAGACCTATATGATGGTAAAATATGGTTAATTTAGGAGTAATTGCAGAATCTAATGCTGTCATTAGTTTGTTTAATGCTGATTTAATGGAAATTAGGTGAAATCTTTGTATTTCATGCATATTAGGGTGAGTTACATGTTTATGATAGTAGAATAAGTTTAATTAGGTTTTAATTAAGTGACTAATGATTTTAATGATGATATAATCAATTTATAACCCATGATAGATCAATTCAGTATCTTTAATGCCTATCATGTTTAACATGTACATATTTATAACGATGAAAGAGGACTAATTAAGAGGTAATTAACTATGTTAATGCTGTGATTAGTATATTTAATGATGAATTAATCAAATTTTGATCCATATTAAGTCAATTCAATATTTTTTTAATGCTTATTAAAGTGTTTGATATATTTATAGTGGTGAAAGAGGAATAATTAGGAAGTATTAATTATGCTAATAAAGTCTTATTTATATCTTTTTATAGTCGAGTGTTGGTTACAATTTGGAGGGGACGCACCAAGCTTAAAAAAGGTTATCATCTATGTACTTTCACATACAACAACATCAAGTGGTTGTGTACGTTACCAATCAACGTTCGCATTGATTCACACGAAGGTCCACAACAAACTATTGTATAAACAATTGGAGAAACTCATATATGTCCACTAGAACGTGGAACTAAGGTTACAATGTGCTAAGCTAGACAAGAAATCAAAGGCGGCGAAGATTGATCCCAACGACCTCAATATTAAACGGATTCATAGTCGATGTTAAAATAGGTCAAAGTAGCGGAGAACCAAGAGGATTCTTTATGAGGCGGGAGATCCTTCGTGTTTTATCACCGAGGCAATAGAAGAAGAGGAAGCATATCCACAGCAATAGGAAGCAAGGTTCGTTGTACCGTACCGTACCGACATTTCGACCCGGGCTCGGTATGGTACGGTACCGGTGTACCGGACGGTACATCAGGGTGTACCGAGCGGTACGCCTTGGTGTGCCGAATATTTTTTATTTTTATACTATATTAGTGCTACAGTATAGTACTGTAGCACTGTAGCGGTACCAGGCGGTCCGCGTACCGATAACCTGTCTGACCGGTACGTACCGCCCGGTACGGGCGGTACGCTTCGGTACGACAGACCTTGATAAGAAGATCCCCCTTGGTCAACATATAGTAGGAGTCGGACAAAATCAAGTCAGACTACTCGAGGAACTAGAAACACCCAACCATCACAGTTATCCGGGCAACATGCAAAAGCAAAGTCAAAGAAGAAGGTAGTAACATCAACTATACCGTTGGAAAGAATCGAGTCAAACTATGAGACACTTTATCAATCGCGTTCAACAACCCACTCGATTCGTAGACATGACAACGACGTAGACAACAGTGCCTCGACCGACGATTGCAATGACGTTAGAGAGTCAATAACCCAATCTACATAGTTTGAGGGTGGTGTATGGACCGAAGAACAATATTTTACGCATGTAACCCAAGATTCAGATCATGGAGCTTAATGAGATATTGGTCAAGTTTATATATAGAAGGGGAAGGGAAAGACAATGGATGATTTTGAACAGATGTGACAAAGTTTACACGATGTAGATACAAAATAGAGCTCATCGTATTCGCAATCATCATATTATGAAAAAATTTATGGTCAATAGTAGTACGATGATAGTTGGTCATTCTTCTCCGAACAATAGTACGATAATCGATCTTATGATATAGAGCAACAAATCAATGGCAAAAATAAAAGTTTCAGCTTTCTCCAACCTCCACACCAATATATGTCACAATCGTACTTGCCTCAAGAGTCGCCTCAGATACGTGTAGTGAACGACGATTAGACTATAACCATCACCATATTGATATGCAGAGTTCACCAGTTCCTCAAGGACCATAGGATTCTATCCCAATGGACACCTTCTTATACACCGTAGCTCAATGGTGTATCGGAAAGGAGGAATCACACGCAGTTAGACATGGTGCGGTCTATGATGAGTTTTGCCGACCTACCCGTCTTATTCTGGGGACACGCCCTAGAGTTCGTAGCTTACCTTCTAAATAGAATTACAACTAAGTTGATAGTGTCTACATCATATGAGATATGGAAAGGGAAGAAATCCGATCTTAGTTGTTAAGATTTAGGACTGCCCTGCCCACATTAAGAGACACAACCCCGACAAGTTGAAATCAAGATAAAACGATGCAAGTTTGTGAGATATCCCAAGGAAATGAATATCATTTTTATCATCCCGAGGACCAAAAAAGTCTTTGTAGCTAAGAGGACAGTGTTCCTCGAGAAAGAACACATTCTTGGTGGAGACATAGAATTGCGCGAGGTTAGAGAACTTAGCTCAAGCAGTGATTTAAAAAACGCTACGCGCCAAAAGGCGCCAAGGTCCAAAAATGCCCGAGACGCTAGGCGCTCGCCCAGGTGCTCGCCCGAGCGAAGCGAAACGCTAAAATATAAAAATATATAATATAATTAATAAATATAATTATTTAAATAAAAAATATACTATTAAATTAAGAAAAACAAGTACAAAATCACAATGTCACATTAATAAAAAGTCTCAAAAATCAAAACAATAAAATTTTACATCAAATCTATTGAATTGCTCTGTACACTTGTCATTTATTCTGAAACCTAAAAATAATTTTAAATAAATAAAAATTAATAGTATTAAAATCAAAATAATATAGTATTAATCTAATAAATAAAAATACTATTATTAGTATACAGTTAGCAGTATACTGTTAATATACTGTTAACAGTATAGTGAAAAGAGTGTGAGAAGACCGAGGCTGCTGAGGCAACAGCAACAGGCGACAGCGGTAGCTGGAGCGAGAGCAACGAGCGACAACGGGAGTGTGAGTGGGAGCGAGAGCTGCGAGTGGCAGCGGGAGCGGCGACAGCAACGGCGAGCAGTGATTGTGGCAGTGGCGAGTAGAGACAATAGCGGCGAGCAACGATAGTGGAAGCGACAGCAGAGAGCAGCAACAACGGAGAAGAAATCTCGACAGCAAAATCGTGAGCGTTAGGGTTGGGGAAATCGGGGAAATCGCGAGAGGGAGCCTGATATCGGTGATTTAGTTGGTTCGATTGAACCAACTAAAGCACCGGAGACCAACCAGACCTAAAAATCTGATTCGGTCGCCTGGTTTAACCCAGGCGCTCGCCCGAAGCGCTCGACGCCTGGGCTCGAGCGAGCGCCCAAGCGGCACCGCTTTGAAGCGCGCCGCCTGGAAATGAAGCGAGGTGCTCGGGCCTTGCCTCACCCGAGCACCTAAGCGAGCGCCCAAGCGCCTATTGTAATCACTGAGCTCAAGCACTATTCTGTAGCCCGAGTCTATTCAGATACTTAGCACACAAATTCCGACTTTACATAGGTCTGGCAGAGTACCCCATCCTCCTGATATATATATATAGGATATATCAGAAAATAGGATGTTAAGGATATTGATCCTCACACCTACGAGGAAACTATTACGAGTATAGACTCCGGGAAGTGACAAGAAGCCATGAATTCCGATATAGATTTCACATACTCCAACAAGGTTTGGAACCTAGTTGATGCACTTGAGAGTATCGTACCCATCGGTTGCAAGTGGATCTTTATTTCTGACTTAAAAACCCTAATCTATTTTTTTCTATTTTTCAAGTAATTTTGGAGTAATTTTTGGCCTTTTTTATATGTCGTCGGCATGCCCCATTGTGTCAACACTCAACATGTCGGTACGGGGCAGCACGTATTTTGCTGCCGACTGACCGGCATGTCGATTCAGACTGGTAAGGCAAACGTTGGTTAAATGAACTAGTCAATCTGATTAACCCTCAATTCCCTAATCCTCGAACATCAACAGGAATGTCATAATCCTAGACTCTTACTTTTTTCATTCTCTTTGAAGCTTTCTTTACCTCGCTTGTCCTAATTCTATAAACAAATATTTGGTTTCTATACTAACCAGTATTTGTATCTCAAAATTAACTACCTATACAAGGCCATTAGATAGTTTATAGAAATAATTCATCCATCTATGTATCCAAGGAGTATGTAATAATTGCAGATAAGCAGGTTGAGAGCATTAAATGCAATAAAATTCGTAAAAAACCGAATCACTTAACAGGTGAGATGAGGGCTGAAGTATTATTACCTTTGTTGGGGGCCTTGTCAGTCATGGCCCTAAATGCCAAGAGCCTGTCCATATCATGGCCACTGGTGGAAATTTTGTTTGATATGTCATTGTATTGTAAATGCAAATGTGCATCAACACTTCCTGGTTCACTAGAATTTACCCAAGACAATTTAGTTGGAATAAGTTTGAAGCCACCCGAATCATCCCATTTGGAACTAACCATGTTTTTCACTTGACCAAAAGGATCTTGACCAAAAATAAGATTTGTCTGTTGTCTACCACCTATAGGGACCATCACAAAGTTATAAGAGGACAGTTACATCAATAATTTACCAAAAGGATAAAACTAAAACAAAATAATCAGCATGAAATGCCCAAGAAGATGAAATGCAATTGTTCACATCAACAGTAGAAAATGATCTACAAGAACATAAAAATCAGAACACATGCAGGTCAAAATTTTGAACATGTTTTACAACTACGAAAGGTATCTATCTAGTGTGACATCTAAAATATTTTCCAGGACCTCCTCCAGATATAATGTTGAGATAATTACTAATTGCACTCCCAGAAAAATAATTAAAACATTCCTTTGTCTGTTCAGATAACCATTAGGTTCTTATTTTAGCTGCTGGTAGGAGAAACAAGCTGGTTAACATTTTGAATAATGGAGACTTATGTATGGCTATCTGGTACCACTTTGACTTGTAAGCCTAAAGGTAGCAAGCATGTTGCACTTCCATCATTCCATGAGATCCAACAAGGACATGATGGTAGGTCAGTGGCACAATGCAGCAGCTCAAACTATCTATCTAGATAATCTTCATCATGACCAGATGAAGTACTATCTGAAACAAATGGAACTGGTGTGACTTCAACCAACACAGCTCAATATAAACAAACATAAGTGTAAAACCCCTTGCTTGAAAGGAAAAACTAACTGTGATATTTCAAACTAGCAATGCCAAATATAAATTATGTGTTCCTCATTGAGCTATTTTATCATCTTCTGATACGAAGGAACAGTCATTTGCCTGTAGAATTAATCTAGCACTTCAGTGCTTTTGTACCTCAACATGAGTCACCTCCAAAATGTAAACAGATTCAGCATCAACTATTTTCCTACCAAAACATAAATTGAGCTTTTGATATTTAGATATATTAGCATTATCGATAACCTAGAGAAAACCTACAAAATAATAATTTGTTCCATCAAATAAAATGCATCATTAATTAAGTCAATGTTTTTATCACTTAAATCATCCAAAACAAAAGAATAAAAAGGGTACATGACAATGAATCAACCAATCCAACAGACTAAAATTCTAAATTATGCAAATCATGCTAACAACTAAAGGTTCAAAGAAGAAAGGTCTTTGGAAGTACTATTTACTGGTATACCTTCGAGATAGGATGTTAAAGAACAGAAATAAAAACTCTAAATATGAATACCATGATACTATCTAGAGTGAGAATCATAATTATTGGGAAACCATTGTGTCTTCCTTCACAATGGAGATTGGAACTACAATTACTACTACTTAAGAACAGAACATCACATCAAACTTCACCTAACTTGAAGAAAGTTACAATTCTTGCAAACAAAAACTCCCGCAAAGTTCCTTGGTTGAAGACGAGGGATAAAAGGGTGTCTGCTATCAGAAAGCAAAAATAAAAAGACAACTTGTTCTCATTACTTGCTTCATCTCAATGTACCTGAAGTAATCCTTTTAACCTACATTACTCTTTGATTCACAATGTCTTAGTCCAACTGCTTAAGTTCTACATGGTAACAGCAACATGAGCTAATATTATAAAATATGTTTAGAGAAACTATTCAATTAGTAACCACAAACTGAGTATTACCATAATATGATGCAGGAAACATTGAAGAAGTGAATGGGATTGTCTCGGGATGGGGTTTGCGTCGACGTGCATTGTGGTCAGATAAGCGTCTTCGACAGCTTCGCTTTTTTTGATCAAACTCGGACAAAACATGAAACCTGGAAGATTATTTTATCTAGAAGATTATTCTGAAACCTTGGATCAGATCATAATTGTCACTAACTAAAAGGAATAAGAAACAGATTAAATCTAAATAATGTGTTATTAAAAAGCACTAGAGATATTTCTGAAGAAGCACTACTGATCCTTCTTCACCAACAACCTTTAACAACTAAACTTTCTCTCACTTTTTAACAACACAAGCATATCACCAAAGAATAGGATATACAATTTAAGTAGCATTACCATGTTTGAGTGGCAAAAAGTTTTTGCTACCTAAATGGGTAAATGCATGTAGAGAAACGTCCCTCAGCCCTTTGAAAGGAGAGAAAGAAACAAAAACAACCATCCATGATAAGATGAGTTAATTTTCGAAGAGCAACAAGTGTTTCACCTGCTACACTGTTGACAGAACCTGCGCTCCTGACCAGAAACAATAACCTCAGGAGACTTTGAATGGCTTTCGCAGACTTTGTGCTTCCTATGATAATCTTTGGCTGAGGTCAGGTCAACATTGCAACCTTCAACTTGACAATATGAGTTCTGCATGTGCTGCTGTGACACCTTTGGTTTTTTAATTAAACCAGTGGATAAATTCGTAGAAGACAAAGAAGACGGGTTCTTATTGTTATTCCCTTCAGAAACATCTTTTAAGTGTGTCCTCTTACCAAGCTTCAGACAAATAAGAGGTTTCTCAGGGCCATCTGAGGCCACTACCCTATGCATAATTCCAGTTTCCACCCTGGCTAAATCTTTGTTCTTCTTCAGGTTCTCAGGAGATTGTTCCACAGAGTCAAAGTTGAACTGTGGAGTTCTGCTTATGTCCTTTGATGTAGAACCAACGGATACTGAGATGGAGCTTCTAGATGAACCATAACCTAATTCTGAACCAGAGAAGGCACCAGCATCAGACGAATTTACAGACCCATTTCCATTCGCATGGTGAATCCCACGCCCACCAGCAAATTTCCAGTCAGGCTGGTGTGCGGATTTAGAAATTTCAGCATCCTTTTTGCTGAACAGGGTCAAGGTTTCCCAGTCCCAATGTAAAGGTGTCTTCAAGGTCCAATCCATCCCGAAACAAACACTTGCAGAAAAGGTCCAAAAATTCAATCCTGCTCATCATGAAATGTGCACAAAAATCAGTCTATGATGTAAGGAGCTGATTCAAGCAAGAAAATATAGTAAAAAATTTCAGGACTTACAAGTAGACATACTTAAAACAAATACTTGGGTCCAGACAGTTTCCAACAATGGTCCAACTTTCCCACCCTTGATACTACAGCTCATCAAAGAAAAACAACTATAGAGCTAAAATATTTGTGGGATCAGATTCTAAGAGGAGACAACAAAAGCAGATAGAAACTTTAACAACAGAAAATGGATGAGAAAGCAAACACTTTATCCCTCTAGGAATCATGCACACTAGACTCCTGTAACCCAGCTACACTTATCTACCATTGTGGAAATGTTCTAACTCTAAAGCGTGTCAGCTCTCTTTCTGTTTTCTAACATTCGGCCAAATAAAAAAAACACAGTATAAAGGAAGATCTCTCCATCATCACTGATATAGTTCTGCCAGGAATCACTAGGTCTGTCCCACCAGGAGGCAGGTGAACCTACCAACACAAAAAAAAATCATCATTGTTCTCCAACAAAACTTTATAGTCGAGCAACTCCCCCAATAAGACTCCATCCTCGAACCTCTTCTCCGCTGTGACTTCATCTTCTGATTCACAAAGTCTAATCTTTTTTGTTTACCATTCTTTATTTCTCTCTAAATAATATTAACCAACTAATTTTCTTCTCACATAATAAGATATTTTACGTTTTACAACATGCTAGCACATCACATGCTAACAGTCAACATGAGAAAAAAAATATCTAACCTCTGCTTCAGAAGAAAGAGTAGTTGAATCCCTCTGCAACCAAGTTGTTGTTCTTCTCGTTCCACAGCAGTCGTCTTTATCCAAAAATTCAAGGTCGTAAACAGATCTTTCGCCTTGCCGGTTGGCCTGCCACCGGTCTACGCAAAAAATACATCGCCACAAATGAAATTTTGAAGAAAGTGTCTGCCAACTGAAAGGAGAAAAAAGACTTTATGCGATAGGTCAAGACACAGAACAGCAAACGCACGTAAAAATCAATCAATGCATCGCTTTTAGTTTTTCCCCTTTTCACAGTAGCCCCAGAGCTCAGCAGTAGCAAAAAATCTACACTGCAAACAAGCACATGGTTTCTGACACAGAGCACTCAGTGCTAGCAGAGAGCTGTCGAGTTCTAGTTTCCTTTACCTCCCAACTTCCAATGCATTACTAGTGCACTTTGCGTCGAGAGAAGAACAGCCTTTGTCGTGTTTTGGGTCTTTTTCTTAAATTATCACAACCCAAACGAAGAAAAAACACCGACAAAGATGAAATCTTTGGTTGCAAAGAATTTTACTCCACAATCTTTCCTCTGCCCTACTATCTGCCTTGCCATAAACGATTCAAGATGCAGTCTTGCCCCACGCTTTCGCCTTTTTACAAGCTTGGAAAAAGCGGATCCATCACCTTCCATGTAAGGAAGAAGAAGGACAAAGAAAAATCCAATGTCACCCAATTCTGCAAAAAAGATACCGATCTCTACCGGCTCCCCTGAATCTTCTTCTACTTCCCTCCATAAAAAAAATATAAAGAAAGAGAATAAACTGACAGACAAATACTAAAATAAGAATCTTTAAGCAGCTCGGCGGTCAACGGCGACCCATGTATTGCAGTTTCCTTAGGGTTCACTGGGAAAGCAGCCGGGACCAGCAATTAATGCGGGGCTTCTCGATCAAAATCGAGTGCCTACAACGCACGTAAGGGATCTGAGGGCGAAACAGCCATCGAGAGGTTACCTCGCCGCCAGAACCAAGTGGCACGCGTCGGTTAGCGCTCACAAATCTCTCTCTTCTCGACCGACGCTACTAACGGTGCCGTCCCGCGGAGTTGTCCCGCCGATCTCTCCGGGCTCCAGGGATCGCTTAAAGCAGGAATCAATCGAGCTGGAGGAGAGATCTCCAGCTTCGGGGCGACGACAGGACAAAGCGAGACGGCCGCGACGCGGTGGAATTTTAAGACCGAATGAGGGGCAGAATGGGAATAAAGAGGAGACTTTTGCTTCTCTCGAGAAATAGAGATACCCCACAAATTAGCGTTATCTACGGGAATGCCCACTCCGCAGGATTTCCACGTGGTGCAACGGGGATCAAAGACGAAGACAACCTGAGGTCGGTTCTGGTCACCTCCGAGTGACGGCTGATCCGTTGCGACCGCGGCGTTCCCACGTTGGACGCTTGTGTGGCCCGTCCCAACCAATAGGTTGAGGGTTGACTGGATCAGGCCCGTAACTTTTCGAGGGTGACGCGGCCTCATCAAGAACGTCCGAAACTACGTTAACCCGATAAATTTTGGATCTTTCTATCCGTAACCTCTTATTATTATTATTATTATTTTCTAAAAAATATTAATAATAAAAAAAATAATGTGAATAGTAAACTTCTTAAATTATAATAAAGATGGGTGACCTATTGATGTAATTTCTTGGATAGGTCGATCTTTATATTTGTAGCACTTAAAAATAAGATTTTATATTTTTATCAGCATAATTACAGTATGTAAATGGGATATAATTTTGATTTATATTTTAAAAATGAAAGGAATTATGGGCACTTTTTGTTTGGATGACCAATAATTATGTCCTAAAGACTTTTATTCCTTATCTATACATCTCTATCTGGAGTGGTGCTTATTGTCAAACGATGGTAGATTGCTTGGATGACGAGACCTAACCCAATGGGGCAACCAACCAGAGAATACTTTATTACATAAAATATTATTTGATTTGATGTATAGTGTCTAATCCTTCACCTACTTCATAAAATATGTATTATTTTATATGATTGAATTATGTAAGGGATGGATGTGAGCATTTGTCAACCAATAGCATCCTTTGGATCCATCATATTAGATTTGATGTCATTATCAGCTTAGCTCATCACTCAAGAGTCCATAATGATATGTATGCACTACAAAAACTCTGGGAAGAGAGATAGACTCTCTCTCTCTCTCTCTCTCTCTCTCTCTCTCATCATTATCATACATAATATTTTTATGTTAATAAAACCCAAAATCTTTTTTTTGGCCGGTTTAGTTGTTCATAATAATAATTCAGTTGTTCAAATACTTACCTCTATATTTATTTCAGGCACCAATCAAGTTCCTTTTTATCCATCTAAACTAGTTAAAATTTTAAAAATGATAATATTTCTTTGTTTAGGGATAATTTTTCATGATTTTAGAAGATTTTACATCCTTTGTAGAAGATCAATATAAATGATTTCGTCTACATGTCCCCTTAACCCTATATATCTTAAAGATTACATGCATAACACATAAAAGTTATATCTAGATAGATATTATATATATATAATTATTATTAGGTTAGAATTGATGATCAATTCATATCATTCTAACTTAACAAAATTGACATATTTGAAAACTAAATCTTGAAAGATAGTTAGTGATAGGGAGTATTTTGGTGCAAATCATGACCTGTCAATTGGTTGTCATGGATAGTGCAAGACTCAAGCCATCCCTCCCTCCACGACCAATAATAAGGCAGTAACTTTTCAGCCACAGTGGATTGCAATACAGGGGAAGTGGTATGGGTCAGTCGTCGAGGCAAAGGCCCCCTGGCGATCGAGCCGACTTACGCCCCTTTGGTCGACTCTAGTGGGTGACAACTGTCCGACTCAATCCCGACAGTTGGTAGGACTAATAAGCGACACCCTTTCTGTCGTCTTTTGTTGACGAAGCATCATAGGAGGTTGTACGAGTCGTTCGTCCATATGAATGTGCCATTAAATGATGTACAGGTTAGTCCCCATCAACTATGCTCCTCATTTCTCGACTTCCCAAGTATAAAGCCTAGTCCCTGATGCTTGAACAGGGACCAGATTCTAATTTCATATTGTCTTAACTCCACAAAAACTAATTTGATTATCGACAAGATCGGACCGAAAAATCTCTCCAACATCGACCTTTCCATGAGGAGACTAGAGCACACCTTGGCTCAACCTCAGAGTAGCCTCAAATGCTCAACTTCCACCTCGGAATAACTTCTATCGATTATTTTTCAACTCCAACCTCGCTTAATCGCCGCCACGATAGCCCCCCAAACAATCATGTGCCTTTGAGACAGAATCAAACCATACCGATATAGACTATGTTAAGAAAATAATAATTGGGATGTTTTAAAGTTTTTTACTACTGTTTGGGGGCATGTCCAAGACCATTAAAATAAAGAAAAAATCAATATTCATAACCATACATACGACAATGATAAAGAATCATTCAATGCTGACAAGCTTGAATTGATCGGTTCTATGTTTGCAATCTGGATGAATCGAAGAGATTGAAGTGTACTGAAAGGCTTATCATCTTGAGTTGACGTCAGCCCTAATGGTCTCGAGTCTCTTCGGAGGAACGTGAGCTTTTAGAGAGCACGATCATAAACACAGCCCAACAACCAGCCGAAAGTGAAAAGTAAAAGCAACTCCCAAATTATATCATTCCAGTATTATATTTTATTCATTATCATGTTGTTATCCAAAAGCTTAATGAGAGGTTATAAAGTGATGAAGTGTATGATGGTTGTCACTCGGAAAGCTTTAGAGCGTATCAGAGTGGATTCTGATACATATGTATACATATACATATACATATATACATATATACATATATATATATATGTATACATATATATATAAATATATGTATACATATATATATATGTATACATATATATATAAATATATGTATATATATATATATATGTATACATATATATATATATATATAAATATATATGTATATATATATATATATATATAAATATATATATATATATATATATATATATATATATATATATATA